AAGAGGCGTCTTCATACATTAAAATGCTCCCTAGCCACATCTGGATTGCTTTGTTGAAAACAGATATCATCAGCAAGTATGTCATCCCAGACTTCATGTGGTACAGCTTTGCAAACAGAACATTTAAGGATTCGGCGCCCTTTCTAAGCTCTAAATCAGATGTGTATACCATGTGAACCCACTTGAACATGACTTAAATTAGTGTAATGGAGTAGTGTTCCTCTCATAAAGTCTGTAGAGTTGAAACATGACCAATGGTATGTTCCAAGATGCCACCAGTTACCCTAGAAAAAAATACCTAAGGCTACCCCATTTTCCAGGATTTATCATACCTGAACAAAAGAGGAAGAGAGGACACTGATAGTCTAAGATTCTCATTTTTATTACTTAAAAATGCAAATCCAGCCGGCGTGGTGGCGCACGCCTTTAATCCCAGCACTTGGGAGGCAGAGGCAGGTGGACCTTTGTGAGTTTGAGGCCAGCCTGGTCTACATAGTGAGTTCCAGGACAGCTGGGGCTACAGGGAGACCCTGTCTCAAAAATACACACACACACACACAAAAAAATGCAAATCCCTGTGTTATGTCTAGGTGGGTTCTCTCTGCACAGAACCAGTCTTGTGGACTGAGTCTTTAACAGAAATGTGTTCTCAGTGCTTTTAAGAAAAAGTTAGAACCACACTGGCCACAGATAAAAACGGAGCAAGGCCAAGTGACAGACAACACCTTCTACAGGTTCAACTCAATTTTTGTTGAATTTATTTATTATTGGCTGCCCTTCCCAACAGCCACCGAGTTCCGTTAAATTCACTATCAGATCAGAATCAGGAGGATCTACTTGTCTATGGACTCCAAGTCACTAGTTTGGAGAGACTGAGTAGAGAACGCCAATGAAGGCTCAGCAGGTGAGTGTCCCTTTTTACAATCCATAGCCCAGACTGAAAAAATTAAGAAATTTTTTCCATTTCTTTTTTTGAGACAGGGTCTCCCTGTAGTTCCAGCTGTCCTGAAACTATGTAGACCAGGCTGGCCTTGAACTCACAAAGATCTGCCTACCTCTGTTTCCTGAGTGCTGGGGATTAAAGGTGTGTGCTACTACACCTGGCAGAAATTAGACTCTTTAGGCAAAAAACAGGCCAGGCTGAAAGAATCTTATCAATTGTGTTTCAACAAAATGACCACCTCAAAGATTAGGCCTAAAATGACTGAGAACAGAGATTTGTAAAAAAAACAGTGACACCTCATTTGACAGCTGTGACCATATGCATAAAACCCTTTCAAATAATAACCATTTGTGGTACATTCAATAGAGTAATGTCATTGAAAATATTCTTTTTCTTCATTTATCATTGATTTTAAAGAGATTTTGAATGATTATTAGCCCACAGTGTAGAGCAAAGAGCTCTATGATTGCAAACAAATGAACAGTGGTCTGTTCAACTTTCAGCACAAGACTCTTTACCCAGACGCCATCGACCTTGGTCTAAAGCAAGAAAGAGTCCTTTGACTTTCTGGGTATACCAAGGAAACACTAATAATGATGTGGCCCCCAAGATGGCTCAGTAGGTAAAAGGTAACTGCTAAGCTTGAGGACCTGGGTTCATTCCAAGGACCCATATGGTAGAAGGAGAGAAGTGACTCCCATAAGTTGTCATCTGACTTCCACATGTGCACTGTGGCACATGGGTCCACACACATACACACACACAAAATGTCATTTAAAAAACCTATTACAATGTCTTAACTTGAATGTAAAAGCAAACACACACACACATACACACACACACACAAACACACACAAACACAGTAATCCCTGTTAACTAATACCCAGTATCCATATAAAACGTGAATGTGACACCTTCCTAACAAAAGCAATACTTTGACAAACACTCCACCCCAAAAAACCTAAGTTCCCAGGGTTTTGGATGACAGGTTTTTCTTTTTATTTAAATCACACTTTCCAGGCTGCTGGTCAGTCACTCGTATGAACTCACAGCAACTGTGACAGCATCCCCAAAATCCATGGAAGCTCAAACCAGTCAAATCCCAACATAGGCATGGGGACATGGTTAAGAAATCCCAACACACCCTAAGGAACTTCTGGCAATTGATGGCTGCTGGGAGGGGGAGAGAGTCTTTTTTAAGGCTGGGACTCTTAGTAGGTTGACCACGGTCCAGTGGATGGACCCACACTGAAGGACATTTGGAGATACAAATTAGACTCTATAGGCCTTATTTTATATATATAATAAAGTTCATTAAATTGGGTGGGGGCAGTACGGGGAGGTGCAGATAGGGGAAAGGATCAAAATACCATCCAATTATATTGTATGAAAATAGCAAAAATTCAATTAAAACCATTAATTAAGGGGTAGAGAAATTGCTCAATGGTTAGAGCACAGGCTAGAAGGACCCAGGGGTTCAGTTCCCAGCACCCAGATGGCAGGTAACAACCATCTGTAACTCCAGTGCCAGGAGATCCAATACCCTCTTCTCACCTCCATGGGAAATTGCACAACACGTGTACCCTTACATACATGCAGGCAATACACTCATACGCATAAAACAAAAATAATAAAAGTACTTAAAAAATAAGAAAAAATAATAAATCACACTTTAAAACTGTGCCAATGGAAAGAAACCGATCTTGGTAAACATTTCCCTGTCTATCCTGGCGGTTAGGAGACTGTTATTCCTCAGCATAACAAACAATGCAGTCAGACCACAGGTGCTGGTGTCTGTCACACACGAAGTTTCCCAGATTAGCGCACAGTGCCCTACCCCTCCACTGCATTCCCGAGCCTCTGAAATGTGGACACAGCTTGGAAGGCACCTTTTAGCTAAAAACGGAGCTGGGCAACTGCATGTCAGACTGCAAATGATCTTCAGGAGCTCTCACGGGCTTATGCTCCTAAAGGGGTAAGTAGAACACCCTTTTAAAAAATGTAATATTAGTAAACCACATTCAAGGTCAGAAAAAGTCTACTTGGCCACCTGAATGATGACTCTGCCGTATTTGGAATTCAAAATTAAAAGGCAGGGGTTAAAAGTAGTACTTAACTAGATTTCGATTTGAAAACAAAATTGGGGCAGGACATGGACTGAAATAAGGACACCTCATTTAATGTCCTTTAGTTAGCTCACTTGTTAAATGTACGGATTCAACATAAAGTCAAACAAACACTACTAAAGTTCACGGAGAACACTCATGTTGTAGATGATTATTTATTCAGCCGATACATACATGCCAGAGAGCTGAGACACTGTGAGGCCTGCCTTGAGCAGGGTTAAGAAATAACTGAACAGTTAAAATAGTAAAGTTTATAAAGAGACATACAGCAAGGAATGTAGTCAGCAAAATGTCACCAAATTATATCCTTAAATCTGCCTTGCTTTAAAATGCATGCCTTTAGACATGCACACCGCCAACACACAGCACAGCCAGGAAGAGAACTTTGAGTCTCCAACCAAAATGAGAGCCCAGGACTTTGTGGCGTTTATAAACAGTGGTTTGAGATTTAGGTTTTGTTTTTCCATCTAAATAAAATATCCGTGGAACTGCTCTAACACCAAGGAATCAGGGAAAGGGGGACTGGTTAGCCGGGCACAGCGCCTTGAGTCTGTAATCCCTACGATTTTGAGACTGAGGCAGGAGGACCTGCTATAAATATGAGTCCAGCCTGGGATGCGTCCCGAGTACCAGGAGAGCCGGCACTACAAAGTGAGACCCTATTTCAAAACCTTTTTCAAAGGAGGTTTAAACTAAGTGATCTACCAAATTATTTTGATCCCAGACTGTGAGAGGACCAAGAAAGTTCAAAGTCCCTTCTACCCCTTGCTGATTCCATAGGGAGAGACGAAGCTGGTTTCATTAAGAAGGAAAAGGTTGATTCTCCTGTTAAATTCTTGACTGAGCCACAGATACTCAATTTCTGTAAGAAAGCATCACTGAGACCAAAATTTTGTTTATTTGATTTGATTTCTTGAGATAAAATCTCACTATGGCGCCCTGGCTGGCCTTGAACTCACTAAATAGCCCAGGCTGGCCTCCACTTCTCTCCTCCTCAGACCTCAGCCTCCCAAGTGCTGGGATCAGAGTCCTGAACCACCACACCCAGGTTTAATGCTAAAAGTTTAAAGGAAATGTTTATGGGAGAAAGGAAAGAAAACCTTAACATCAAAAATAATTGGAATTTATAGACAAGAAGCTTTGGAAAGCATCTCAGTTTGTATTTCTGGCTGACCTGGTATTGTGGTGCACCTCAGACTGGACTCAAACTGACAGCAGGTCCTCCTGCCTCTCGAACCACTCTGCCCAGCTAACCAGTCTCCCTTTCTACGATTCCTCAGTGTCAGGAGATCAGTTCCACAGACACTTTATTTAGACAGGGAGAGAAAATATTTTTCACTTAGGGTCAATTAAATTCAAACTGGAAACCAAGGGTAGTCTATTTGTATTTGAGGTATCAATATGAATACTGTTCAACTGTTGAGGGCAGCCTCTCTAGAAGATTCTTATAGTCTACCCCTGGACACTTTATGTCAATATTACATGTTTGTATATATTTGGTTTGTCCCTAATGTGGAGAATGACTCAAGAATTCTACGGGGAACCATAAATGCCTCTGAATTTCTGACTGTTCAAACAAAAATCTCTAGTAGCTGAAAAGTTCAAAGAGACAAATTGTTATGCCAAAGCCCTAAATCTCTAAGTCTTACAGCTGACATGTCCCAACCTGGGGCAGTAACAGATTGGAAGCCAAGGAGGGGCATTCTGGTGCAGAAGGATGGAGCCCACAGCTGTCTCTTCCTTCCACACACTTGGCTCCTAAAACTTGTTGATACATTTGGCCTGTTCATCTCATTTGCCGGTTTGCCGGGCTTGACACCAACAAGACGACAGAACATTTGTTAAGTCACAACTCAAGGCTTCAGTGCCACACGGAAGAAACCCGGCCAGCTGGGAGGAGAGAGCACGTCACAAAACAGACACCGAATCACATCTTCATTTTTCTCTGGAAAACAGTCAGAAAGGAAAGACTGTTTCCTAGTTATCCTGATAGGCCTTTTTTGTATCTTCTCCTCTTAGAACAGCAACCTTTGCTTTGAGTATGTTTCTATAAACGTTCACAACTGTAACTGAGGACACAGGAGCATCTAGAAAAGTCCAGTTCATACTGAAGGTTAAGTGCAATGAAGTTCTGATTTGGCACACATTTTTGTGGTGAATTTGAAACACTTCCAGGTGGTGATACTAACTCTGAAAAGAGATGAAAACACAAAGTTCTTGAAACAGCATTAGAAATGGTTTTAATGTCCTTATCTGCATAGTAATTAATTAAATAAAACTTTATGTAAGTTAAAAAATGCCTCGGTCTGGGCCTCTCCAGGAACACAAGAGACAAAATGATTATAAGAAAATGTCAGGTCCTTCTCACTTTACTATCTAGCAGGAAGTGTGCAATGATGTATCTTCCAGTTGTGATACAACTAAATGCCTTAATTACAAGTTCACCTCATTTATATCCAGAAACACACACATATTCTACAGAAATACCACAACAGACTTAAGAAACTGACCCACTAATTTGAAAATTTTGTCAAACATGCTGATGCAATGTTGCAATTCCAGCATGTGGCAGGAAGATCAGGCATTCAAAGCCATCGCCTACATAGCAAGCTTGAGGACAGCCCAGGCTGTAGATGACCCTGTTTTGATAATAAATACAAGACTAAAGATATAAATAATAAAATCCCTATTTATGTATCACAGATTATGGTGTCTTGAAACATTATACCCGAGATCTTATTCCAACTAACATGGCTAGTTGGAATGCTGGGGGCTCAGAGGGGTGTTCAGATATTTGTGTTTGCATTAAACAAATGTCTAGCGACTTTCAGAATTGGCAAACAGACGTGTAGCCCCAAAGGAATGCCAGAGAAAGAACGGATTAACCTGAGCACACAGCCACTAAAGTGGTAACATTCTCAGACCACAACCAACTGCCAAGCTCGCTGATTCCGGAAAGCCATCAGGCCACCTCGCCTCTTTTGCTGGAGAGAACCACAGCCTGGAAGATGTGTGCCACCTCCTCTCACCCCCAGGTGCCTGCAACCAAGCATATCTCCACTGATGCATGAAAAGACCAATGTGATCCATGTTGGTCCCCATCAACCCTCATAGGTAATGAAAACTTCTGAGGTTGATTAACAGAAAACTCTGAATTTTAAAAACTATCCTCAGGCTGGGCATGGTGGCACATACCTTTAATCCCAGCACTTGGGAAGCAGAGGCAGGTGGATCTCTGTGACATTGAGGCCAGCCTGGTCTACATAGCGAGTTCCAGGCCAGTTGTGGCTAGAGGGAGACAGTGACTCAAAAAATGACCCAAACCAAACCAAAACAAAAACTATCTTCATTCCATGGCATATACTGACATACTGCCATACAGGAAGGGCTCTGAACAGATGCCTAAAAGTTTCCAGGAGCATTCGAAATAACTCTTCTTGGGCTACCTATCAAAGTAGCCAAGTTCCCACCATCTTTTGATGTTTTGAATAGCAAATATCCCTGATAGAATTCTTATTAAACTCTTCGTATAAATTTGCTTCAGATAAGACATCTAGTGCCTGAGCTCTCTGGAAGAACAGGCTCACCTCAACAGATAGAAAGGGCAGGGGCACTGGAATCATGGGGACAGCAGGGAGAGAGGTGACCGCCAGTGTTGACTTGGCCACCAAGAGCAGTAAAAGGACTGAGAAAACAGAAATAATTCCAGGGAAAGAAAGCCAGAAGACACAAAGGTTTAGTCTATTTGCAAGCAGAAAAATGATAAGATCTGGTTTTTAATTAATAAAGTTAATGCTGTGTCTGTGTGTTGTTATGATTCAGTGCTTGTGGGTGTGGTTTTTAAATATTTTCTTATTTTTATTTTATGTGTATGTGTGTATTGCCTGTGTGTCGATAAGTGCACCCATGTCATGCAATGCCCACAGAGGTCAGAAGAGGCTGTTGGCTCCCCTGGGACTGGAGTTACGGATAGTTGTTACCTGCCATGTGGGTGCTGGGATTTGAGCCCGGTTGTTCGTGTTGCTGCATTGTGTGCTTTGGGTGTGTGTTGCTTTTTGTGGCGGTTGTCTTGTTTTTGCTTGTTTTTAATCTTTTTGAGAGAGTTTCGTGCTATGTAGCACTGGCTAGCCTGGCATTCACTGTGTAGCCTACACTGGTCACAAACTCATAGCAATCCTCCTGCCTCAGTCTCCAGAGTGCTTGAATTACAAGTGTGTGCTAGATGTTTTGATAGTCTGCATTGCCAATGAGGTAAACCCAACACACATGTGCTGAAGGAAAGACTTTGCTTCCCGTCCTCTCTAGACTCCTGCCTCTTTCCACCCTATGTCCCACCCTGGATACCCAAGATCACGTACTCCTTTCCCTCTGCCTATAAGCACAGGTAACTGTGTTCCTATTTTCTATTTTGTTTTGTTCTTATTTTTCTTTATTTCCATTCTGTAATGAAATGTCAGAAAAAAAAAAATAGAAGTCCTCTAAGTATAAAAGCAAGCTCAGTCTCCTTAAGAATCTCACCCACCAAAAACATCTATGGGAAGTGTAAGCGTATACCTCAGAGGACATGGGTACCTGAATAAGGGAGATAGGAGACCCTGGACTATTGATTTCCAGTCACAGACTCATGCCCTAGGACCTACTGTTTCTCAGAAATTATTATACTGAAAGATCACTCTGTGTAGGTTTCAGTCCAACATTTAAAGGCCTATGAAAACATGACAAAACTGGCCTTTTAAAGGGAGTAACACCCAATCAGACCAGATATAAGGTTGTGTAAGGCCTCAATTTTATTGCATGTTCAAATACCATTTAGCCTTGCAATATTCAAATGGCAGAAGTGTGGACAGTAGGTCAACACCCTGCCCAGCCTCAGCCAAGAGCCTACGTGGTGCTCTGCGTTCAGCGGTCAGGCAGCTGTAAGGAGCCTCCAGTGCTCAGCTGATCCTCCATCTAGAGAGTCACCGTTTTTTTGTTTTTTTTTTTTGAATCATGGGTCATGCCAACCTCTCACGAAGCATAAGCTTTGCGATGACTCACAGCAGAACTTCCGTAATGTGCTCTTCACCTATCTAGAGCCTTCCCTGTCCTTCATTATCTCTGCTCTTCGCAAGAAAAATAAATCATACGCTATGGAAAAATGTTTTTATAGCTCAATACAGCGGGAGGCACCTGGCCCTCTAGCAAGTTAAGCAGGAAAGGGAATTAAAGAGCGGTTCTTTCCGGTTCGACTGGAAAATGATGCGGCCAGCACAGCTCTCCTGTGGATAGCACTTCTAAGTCCTAAAGGAAGAAAGCTTTCCATCTCTGGATCTCTCTGAAAGCTGTTCCACCTCCTCTGTAGGATCCATTCTTGCATCAGCCCTGACCAGCCATGACTCACACACAGAGCAGAGGAGTGAATTCATCCTTAAAAAGCACAACAGATACTTTTACACCCATGGTCTTATCACTCACAGTAACAATCACCAACTTAAAGAAATCCCAGTGTCTGCTATCAGATGACAACCAAGATGTGATGGAGAGTATTGTGACAATACAAAGCCAATGAACTTTAAGGATAATAATGCTAAGATGAAATAAACCAGTCACAAAAAGACACATACTGCACTTCTCACAAGAAGTACGAAGTTGGTCAAATGCATAGAGACAGGACATATAGAGGTGGTTGCTGGGGACAGGGGGAAGGAAAATTATGAGCTGTGATTTAGTGGTGTTCAGAATTTCAGCATTCTGAGACTGGATATACAAAGACACAAAAAGACTGCATACTATTAAATTGTATAATTAAGATAGTAAGTTTTGTGTTTATCCCAATCAAAATTAAATTTAAAACGTTAGGTGTGGCAGCTTATACCTATGATCCCAGCACTCAGGAAGCCGAGACAGGCCAAGTGCTGTGAGTTCCAGGTCAGCCTGAACTACATAATGAGTTCTAAGCCAGCCCATGTTTCAGTGTAAGGCCTCGTCTCAAAAAAATAAATCCCCGCCCCAATAGGGGATGCACAAAGGACAGAGGGTTGGGGGAGTGACCCCACTAAAACAAATAGTGACATCTAATACTTTGTACGCTAAGAAGAAAATAATTTATGTTATATACACACCAAAAAGTATAACTGATCTTTTAGATTACCATTGTATATTCACTGCATCTATGTAAGATTTTGATCTGCAAAGAATCTACTCTACAGTCTGGACAGATGGCTCAGCAGGTAAGAGCACTGGCTATTCTTACTGAGGAGGACCGAGGTTCAGCTGCCAGCATCCACATGATAGATAACAACCGTCCACAACTCCAGTTCCAGGGGATCCAACACCCTCTCTGACCTCCATGGGCACTGTACAACACAGGCGCACTTACACACATGCAGGCAATACACTCATACACATAGAATAAAAACAATACATTTTTTTAAAGAATCTATAGTACATGACCACTCCCTTAAGTAACAGCTCTGAGTAACACCCCCTTGGTTCACAGACAAGGAAATTAAGGCCCAGCGTGGTGCAGTAACTTTTGCAAGACCTCACAGTTAGGAATTGATAAAGTCTGCTCTGCTCCTCACCTTCAGCTCTCAAACACACTCCTCTTTGCAAAGAGTCTTGTCACTGGCGTCTGCTTCCTCCCTGTCTTCCTAGCCAACCCCCCACAAGCAGGCTTCCCTCTTACCGTGTCCACTAAAGGTTCCCAAGAGGTCACCATTGTGTCTGTGTTACTGTTACTAGGTTTGGTGAGCTTATCTGCACCAACCTCTCTGGGGCAGGTGATACGGCTGACCCTCCATTTCCTTCTAGAAAGTATCTCTTCTCTCCATTTTCGGGACGCCGTTTTCTCCTGATAATCCTTCTGTTTGACTAACCCTCCTACCGCATTCTGAAGATACAGAACCTCTTGCTAAACTTCCACAATGGCTAATCAGTAACTAAAGGACAAATCAAGTCAGGTTTACTTTAGGGTTATTTCAGTGGTTTACAGAATTGTTCTGAGACCTGTAGTTAATAGATTGTAGAACCTTCTGGATGCAGGTTCTCTAGAGCTGACCTTTTAGGGAGGATTTCCCAAAGCTTCATACAGTATTTGGCACACAGTAAGCATTAAAGAGTCCTGTTCAATGTACTCAAACTACAAATAAATTCTCAATTTCAGAGCCATTTTTCGTAATGTAGTCCTCCAGATTCTACTGAGAAACTTCCCAAACTATCCAACTGTCACCCTCGCTCCAAGGCCAGTTAAGGATCCCCTGTGGGCCCCAGAGAATAGCTAAAACAGTAGGAACATTGCTCCCCATTACTTATCGTGCAATCCGCAGGTCTCTGCCATGTCTCCCTGTCTTTGTAAGCACCCAAACTATTTTGCAGGAAACCACACATGACAGTGACACTCCCCAGCTGTTAAGGCTTAGCTGCTGTTCTGCTCAAATAGTGTCTCACTTCGATATGAAAGGACTAGAATACACGAGAACATTCCAACAATTTCCCGTGTTTCCCGATTTGGTTAGCTGAGCAAACACCGGAGGCCTAAGTAAGAAACTGGAGGTGCACGCATGTTTGGATAAATAGGAACAGAGGTTATACCTTAAATCCATCACAGCATCTCAACGAGCAGCAAGTTGCACACAGCCTCCTTCTGTCCTGTGTTCTCTACCCCACCCACATCGGAACTCTATAAACAACATGCCCATCAAGCTGGTCCTGTGTCTTCATTTTTCATCTCATCCTTTTTGGAAGAGTGCATCCTCAGGTCCGCTTATAATCTCTGACCTTGTGGATGTTCGCCTGTTAGCTCTGAGCTTGGCATAATGGAATGTTAATAGGCTGTTATGATTTACTCTACAAAAATCAATGGTGTAGATCCTGTAGGGGAAAAAAGCCACTTTGGTGGGTTCAGCTATACACAGAGCATTAGGTATCATTTGATTCCCTAGGAATGAAAATTTGTCCTTGGCAATTCAGAGTTCCCTTAAGCTGATCTTTTATTTTAGTTAGATATTGAGTCTAATGTCCCTCCCTGACTTTAAATTCCTGAAAACTGACGAGGAACCCTGTGATATCGACAACATCCAAAATATCACATAGCATTGAGAAGATAAAATTTCAACAGCAAATGGTAAGTGAACTGTGAATTTCGGGGGGAATTTGACTGGAACAAGACAGGGCTGCTGTTTTGCTGTTGTTTTAAGTCTAGGGAAAAACTACATAACCATAACTCCCTAATAGATCAAAATAGAACATTTTTAAAAAGCATGGTAGAATTCAACTTTTGATTAAAAAATTATTTTCCATTGAACAAAAGGTCATTCTTTGATAGTAGAAATGAGGTAGTCTGTGAGGTTGACTCAAGAACATATCAATTTTAAGATGGAGCAAATCTTTTTTAAAGATCACCTTGCTTTGAAAGAATGGGAGGCAGAAAAGGCCTTTCTCAACTTCTGAAGGTCACAGAAAACATCCTCTTTGTGTCCTGAGTTTGTCTTGGGTGATGCACATATTTTGAGTTGAAGGTTCTTCAGTCGTTACTGGTTGTTTGTTTATAGAACACATCTATAAAATGACTATTTCAAGCCAGAAGGTTCTACTTTCAAAGAGATAACTATCTCTGAAGTTCGAGGATCTCAAAGGGAGAAGCACCACAAAGGAGGTGGGGGCAGGCGACAGGTGGCTGTGGGGAGACTTGGAGGCAGCTTAGAACGAGGACTGGTGTATGACACTCTTCACAAGCATGCCCTGTTGAGTAATGATCAAAATAAACTTTCAGGGCTGGAGAGATGGCTCAGCAGTTAAGAGCACTGACTGCTCTTGCAGAGGACCTGGGTTCAATTCCCAGCACCCATGTGGCGGCTATGAACCGTCCTTAACTCCAGTCCCAGGGGAATCTGACACCCTCTTCTGATCTCAGCGGCACTGCACGACACGGGTGCACTCACATACATGCAGGCAATATACTCATACATGTAAAAATAATAAATAAAAATTTTAATAAAAAGAGAATAAACTTTCTTAGTTGTTTATTGTTTTTCAATTCTCTACAATCTCTTATAGTCTATAAAAGGAGCTAGGTACTGCCACAGCCTGTTGTAGGAACTCTTTCCTTGGGGAGACATGAATAAATGTTTACCTTCTCCTCATAGAGCACCAAGAACAAACCAAAGTGAAAGTCCATTGAAGCCCAACTTGGGGGACCCCTAAACATCCACACCACCCAAAAGTCTCACCCCAGCATGGATGACAACTTCCCCATGGCTGCACAGATGGAGTCTCCCCTTCAGTTAACCCTCCACATTCTATCACTGTCGTACCTCCAGGACCACAAGGCCACATTCAATCACATACAATTGTCTGGGAGGCACAGGAAGAAGAAGCCAGTTTCAGGCAAGGGGCCAATGACCTCCCCTCCGTCTAAGAGAGAACACCAACAGTCAACAGATCCTACCTCAGGAGTCCCTTGCAAGAAGTCACAGCTGCTCTGATGAAGGTGACGGCTGAAAGGCTCATGCCCTAGGACAGCTCCCTGTTCTGGAGGAGGGATCTGCAGGTGAACCCTCACTACTCCCAGTGTGCCTTCTCCCCCACCCCTCAGTGCACTTCCATCCCCTGGTCCTCAGGCTCCACTCATCTTTGTCTCTTTACTTTTCTTTCTCCCTGATAGGACTATGTGAACCTGAAGGTCATAACCCTTTAATTTACCACTACTACTAAATGTCTTGTAATGTGCCTAAAATACAATAGTTACTGATGTAAGGAAGAATCTATAGTGTGCCAGTTACTAACCAGGCCCTGGTCCAGGCACTAGGGTAACAGCAATGAACAAAACATATGAACACAACATCCTTCCCTGAATAGTCAAGAGCGATGTAAATGGACAGAAACATGGAGGAACAACAGGTAAGCAACACCTCCCACTGGTCAGTTTGAAATTTCACTTAGTGGGATAAAGAGAAGGCATGCACATAGCCTGATTTTTACACAACTCATTCACATGGCAAAAGTTAAGTCCAGACTTGATTTACAAGTAAAACTTCAGAATCTTAGGATTATAAGCTGACACACAACTTCTCTTTATCAATGATTAGCCTCGAGCCTTTATGTTCCCATCTCACTACTAGTAAACCCCACAGTAACAACATATCCTTAGAGGGAACCATACATATCTTGGACTACATCTTGGGAAGAGGTATTTAACAGAGCTCAATCCCCTCCTCCCACCAACACAAACAACAGGTAAAAATCTGTGGAACATTTGTATCTCTCCAAGTCCATTCATCATCTATGAATTCTCTCATTTGAACCATCACATCACATGTGATGTAGATAATCAGGCTTTCTTAAGGTCTGTTCTCCATGACATGTGAGTTGAAGCTCACAGCATTTATGTTACTTGTGTAATTTTACTCAATTGATAAGTTGCAAAGTCGAACTTAGCATCAGAACTATAAACTCCAATGTCAATAACCATGTTTGATACAAATGCATTATACCATCTACAAGAAAAGACAGATTAAAAACAATTGAAGCCAGCAATGCCTACAATTCTAGCACCCAACAGGCTGAGGCAGGAAGATCAGGAGTTCAAAGTCACCCTCAGCTACTAGCAAATTCAAGACCAGTCTGAGCTAAACACAACTTTGTCTGAAAATAACAACAATACTAACAACAATAGAACTGAACATAAACAGAACTCTCATGGCTCCTTCTTTCCTACCCACCTTTACAACCCAAACAACCAGAGGCAGATGAACCAGTTACCTACGCTAAACAGTACTATTTCTTTTCTGTTTACTTCTTTTTTTTTTATGTGTATGAGTGTATTACCTGCATGTGTGTAAATGCATCGGTGTTGTGCAATGCCTGTGGAGGTCAGAAGAGGGCATCAGATCCCCTGGAACTAGAGTTATGGATGGTTGTTAGCTGCCATGTGGGTGCTGGGAATCAAACCCAGATTGCCTGCAAGAGCAGCCAGTGCTCCTGACCGCTGAACACCTCTCCAGGCCTGAAGAGGACGATTTCTGCAGCAGTCGGATATCAGAACTTCCAGACAGGTTGCCTGTAAGCAGCGTATAGAACTACCTCATTCATTTCTGGGTGGCAGACGATGATCGTTTCATCCGACTATGTGGCCAAGGACAGTAAGCCTCGCTCTGCAAGCCCCTGAGGTCCACGACTGTCACATTCCTCACTGCCGGACCTCAGCACCCCATCCCATTTGCAGCAGGGTATTCAGCAATTACACAATGCATGAATGAATGACGAAAGGGCACTATCAACTGTGACGAATGGATTAAGGGTTCTCACATTTTCTGCTTTTCCTCCGTAGTCTCCGACTCGTCAGACTTTGAGCCATTTGTAGGCAGAGACGCTCTCTGTCTTCCTGTGTAAATCATGTTGAGAACCCCAGATGGTGGCGTGCTCGCGTGGCATGTGTGTTGCATCAATATTTGCTCATTGATTTGTTGCTCAAATACCACTACTGAGTTGTGTTTGTCTGGCAAATCATGCAATTTTAATCATTAGAGTCTGAGGTGGGAAGAAAATGTCTTTTAAAACAATTGAGGGTAAATGGGAAGCACTGAGAGAGAGATTGGTCTGTGGGAAGCATCCTACATGAGAACACAAATACACAATGGATAAGAAATAAGATGAAAACAGCATACTGGTGAATCTCCAAGAGCGGGGGCAACTTTACTGGCAGGTACACAGACACGCAACTTTGCTGCCGGGTGCACAGACAGACACACACTGAGCCACACCTGCAGGACTGCAGAGACAGCTCACCAGCTCAGAGCTCTGCTGCTCTTGCAGAGGACCTGAGCTTGGTTCCCAAGAACCCACATGGGGTGGCTCACAACTGCCTGA